CGATGAATTATTAGGATATAATCGTCATGCAAAGCAACACGTGGATGATTACATTATTATATGCATTGGATTATTATATTCATCCCAAGTAATGGGTTATCCTTTAATTATAATATGCAACACTTTATTTTGGGCCAAAATATTATATGACAAAACCAGTTTTTTGTCCTTCAATTGTTGATTATTTATAACTCAACTCTTGCAGTATAACTTAGTACAACTAAGTTTCTAAAAAGTTTATTTAAATTAATTTATAAGTAACTTTTCAAATGTAATTTATGAAATACAAGATATGTATGTGATGAAAGTTTTTCCTCAGCTTTTATGAACTTGCTGAAAGGTGTTTTTTGAACGAAACTCCAAACAAGTCTTAACATTTTAACTCAGTTAAAACTTAATTCTTATTTATTTTACTTTTGGTAGAGAATGATACTTATCAAGCCCACTTATAAGTAAGTCATTTTATGTGTGAATTAGTAAGTGTTGACAAGGCTACCAAGTCATCATTTTCATTATCATGAACCTCCTTCATCTCTGTGATACATCTTTTGAACTTCGTTTTTGGGGGACTATATTTATAAAGTGAGTTAAAAATTTAAAAACTGAGTTGTATTGAATTATGCTTTAAAGACTAAGTGATAAGTAAGGAACAAAAAACCAGACCGGACACTAAACTGGTTGAGGTAGTGGTTTAAGGGTCAGATGGTCGGACCGCAGTCAACTCGGGATCCAACTGGTCATATTAAAATAATATAATTTAATTAAAAATAATAAAATATAACAACATTGACAATCACTAATGACAAAATATAAGAAAATATGACAATAATTTGATTGTAACAATTAACAAAGTATAACAATATTGAGAATTTTGATCTTTATAGTTCATTATTAATTAAAATTAATAATCATTGATACCAAAATTATTATTAAAATTCATTTAAATCTATAGGGGTTGATATATTAGGAGCTGCATGAGAAAAAATAGAACTAATAACAACCTAATCATTCAAACAGATTTATTACCGATTCACACCGGTTTGACCGGTTCAACTCCCTCCTAATTTAGTATCCAAACTGAACTGGTCTATTGACCGGTTCACCGGTTTACCGGTTGAACCGGCCGATCCAAACCGGTTTTTTGTTCACCAGTGATAAGTGAGTTAAATATTGAAAAACTAAAAGATGAATTTTTCTCATTATATATGCATCTAAAGTAATGGATTATTGTATTAAGAGATCTTTATATATCGATCGAATGGATGGATAGATACAAAGCAAAGAATATTATCATATCTTATGCTTGCGTGACAAGTAAATATGATAATGTATTATATAGGTATTAGTTATGACTCATGACAGTTTTTGAACTTTTGTTTAATTATATTTTATTGTTTTAGGGCAATAATTGATGTGCCATGTATTAAAAAAAGCATAAGAAATGTAAGAAGAAACTAATATAATATATAACGTGCAATTCATATGACTATATTTTTTTCACTCGATGTACTAGATTAATGTGTTACGTATTTAGCAAAGATTTCATTTTTTAAAGATAGTTCACATTGATTTCAAACAACTCAAATTTTGTTATTATTTTTATTATAATCATGATAATTTTTTAAGTTGATAGTTGGTAGAATTATTTAAATTTGCATTTTATTTATCCTGAAAAATTAAAGATATCTAAATTTTGAATGAAATAAAAAAAATTATAATCAGTAAAGATTTTATTTTGTCTTATAATAAAATTATAATTAACTTAAAGTTATTTTATTTTATGTTTTTGTAATTCTTTCAAAAGAAAAATATAAATTTTTAAATAAAATAAAATGTCATATGAGTTGTTCAAGTACAAAAAGGATTGATGCGAGAGATTGGTAAGATCATCATATATGACGCTTTATAAGACTTTCAAATTTTTTATGTTGTCCAAATTGATACTATTCAATATTTAATAAGAATCCACGTGTAATAATACTATTCCCTAAGCCTAAGGAAAGAATCGATTCCCTCAAATGATAAAAGTAGGGTCAAATTTAATACCTTCCCATGGGCTGGCCAGAAATGCTGGGAATCTATGAGTTGTGACTGTTGTATAAAGTTGTATTACTCTTTTTGCTTTTTTTTTTAATCACGCACGCAAGTTTTTTTAAAAAAATCTCATAAAAAACCTAAAAATTATTAAATCTTAAATTAAATATTTTATAAAAATATATTATTATTTGCAAGTCAAATACTTTCAAAATTTATTAAATTGTAGAAAACAATCATAATTCAAAATTTAGGGCTTGTTTGTTTCTGTTTTTTGTTTTTTGTGTTCTCAAAACATTTCTGTAAAACTGGTTTTTAAAACAAGTTTTGAGAATAAAAAACAGAAAATATGCTTTGATAATTATTTTTAAAAAAATCACATTTGAAACAAAAGAACATAAAAAATAACATTTGGCAAGCAGTGGTCATCGTCGGCAGTAATACAAGGTGGGTAATAAATAAGAAAAAAAAGAAAGTTTCTCCCATTTTTCAAAACAAAAAAATATAAATATAAATATAAAAACAAGAAAACATCTAAAAAGTATTTTGGTTTTGAAGTTTTCAAAAAACATATTATTTTTTTAAAACAACTAACTAAAAACAAAGTATCAAATAAATTTGTTTATATTTTTTTAAAAAAATAAAAAATTATTTTCAAAACAAAAACTACTAAACAAGTGCTTAGTCTTTGAAGCTGTGACGTGGCCATGACCAAGGATTTTGAATGCTATTCAACTTAAGAGGTTCTTGGCGGTTTATATTACTCTTAACATATAAATAGTGTGGCTTTTCCATGTTTGCATGTAAAGCAAACTTAATTAGGATGAGTGTATTTTTTATTTTAAATATTTTGAGAGAGATTGGTTTCTAGATGAAGTATATTCTTTATTTATATAAAAAAATTAAATTATATAAAACTTTTCTGAACTTAGAATTATGTATAAATAGTTTTCTTAATGTTTAAAACTTAATTTATAATAAATTCTCCTAATTAAAATTTTAAGTCCATACAAATAACTCCAAACTATTGCTTCTATATCCTGGTAAACTTTGTGTGTGTAAATTTAAAGTTTTCTCAAGTTATTTTATATTTGAGACTAGTCTCTATTAAGATGGGAGTGTTGAAATTAAAATCCTTCTTAACAAATACTACCTCCGGTCCTAATTATAAGACCCGTTGACTAATTTGGAGAGATTAAGGAATTTAGTTAAGTTAGTTATTTGTAATAAATAGGTGTTATTTTCCTAAAATATCCTTGCTAATCATATTTGTTATCTAGAATTACCATTGTTAGAATGATTACTTTGGAAAAAAATTTATAAATATGAGAGACAAAGTGGATTGGGTTATTATATTTAGGATCAAAATAAAAGTCAAACAAGGTCTTATATTAAGGACCGGATGTAGTATGTTTTTTAGAATTCGAATTTGTATTCTTCTCATTACAGAGGTGAAACTGCTTAACATGTCAACCAATAACATGCTGGTATATCCTCTTAAACTTTTGTTTGTCTATGCGTATAATCCCCTTAAATTTTGAACTCCTTAAATTTTAAATTATTTATAGATAAATAATGAACAAAACTAATAATATAGAAGTTGTCTATATAAATGTAAAAGTCAAAGAAGTTTATTGTAAAATTTCAATGTATTCATGATAAATGAGTAAAATAACATATAAGCCGTTTTTACAATACATGCGTATTGCAGTTTTACCGAAAGTGTTTAAGTTTTAATTACTCTCTAAAAGCATAACTTGCTAATCCAAATCAGTTGTGAGGCATGTGAGGGGCATATAATTTATTATTTTCCGACTTTATTCCGTTTTCCCTTTAATTATTGAACAACAGTTTGAATTTATTTATTGTTGAATGAATGCATATAAAACTCATGCTTATAAATAAAACATGCATTCCACTATGTGTATAAGTACACATTTAACAGAAATACCCCCTCCTGTACTCAATATGGAAATCAGTTAAAAGATTTATTTATCTTATATATAACATCTCAACTTAATTCTTCTCATAAATTTATAATTTTTTTTCAAACTATCTATATTAATTATATATGTTAAAAGGGTTTTCTTTAAAAGTAGTTTCAACATTAATGACTAAAAAAGATATTTTAGAAAAAGCAATTGGCAATCTAATTGTGGGTTAATGTATAAATTTGTTTTGAAAGTTTTCACTCATAAGTACTGGGTACCCAGAAGTTTAAAATCATAACAATCTTGTCTTTTACTAGTAAAATGTAAACTGTCAATGTTACTATTTTAACGATCATTTTTTTTTAATGATAGGGAGCAAAATTGCTATGATTTTAAGTTTTTGAGACAAATTTACAACAAAAAAAACTTCTAAATGTTTAGTATTTCTAAGTAAAAACTGGTATACATTTTTAACAAATAACTAATCTAATTAAGTTGTTTAATCTCTACAAATTATTTATGTAGCCCCTTGAATTGGTATTATGTTTAAGACAAAATATAAATTATCTTTGAATCCAATACAATACTATTGAATCTGATAAAAAAATATGCATTGCCACATTTTTGTTATATTTAGATAAATTATTCAATATTTTGAATTTAAAAATTAAGCATATTCACCTTTCTAAATATGAGTTATTTTTTAAAATATAATTTCTTTTAAAAAGATTTCTAAATAAAAATGTCATATCTTCCTGAAAAGATTTTACATTTTCATAATTTGGGGGACAACTTGGGTTTACATTTTATCTTTTCTTATCACTAAGGGCAATTTTGTCAATGACTTGTTAAGTTATTGCCCCGCCGGGATCATCATGATCCGTTCAAATGTTTATTTAATGGCATCGCTGCTTTTGCCCAATCCTCCCATAGGACAAGTTTGGTTATATGACAAAAGTGAAATGACGAAAATGGGCTCAGAGATTCTTATAAATGGAAGCAATCCATTGTTGGCGTCATTTGGGAGAAGCGTACAGAAATAAATGGCACTCATCAATCAAGAGGTCGAAGCTCTTACAAATGCCCTCTCAGGTTCCTCTTAATTTCTTTCTCCTTCCTTTATTCATATGTTTTCCTCTCCTTTTCTTTTCATTTTTTTTCTTTCAAAAAAACTTATATCCGCACCACATAGTCACACACAACAATTGTTTTTTGGGGGGAGCTTCCAATAATTAATTTTTAAAAATAAAAAATTACTTTAATTCCTTTCTTCTGGCCTAGTTTTCCCTTATTTTTGGGCCAATTATTTTAATTTTTTTCTCAGAAGAAAGTCCATTTAATTCTTATTTATTGAGTTAATGTTATCTTCAATTCTTGCATTTTAATATTATTTTAATTTTAATCTCTGAAAATTGAAACGTTTGATTTCTAAAATTTAACTTCATTTTTGTTCGCTTAAATAATTTTGTTCCTGAAACAGTATTTTTGGTACTCAAAACAAGATTTAACAAAAAAAAAACTACTAGTTTTAAATTTTAGGGGTCAAAACTAAAATGAAGTCAAATTTAAAGACAAAACTGATATTAATTTTTATTTATCTGATGTTGAACATTTTTTTTTAATTTTCATTTTTGGGTTGATGATGAAGGAATTGGAATTGATGAGAAATCGCTGATATCAACATTGGGAAAATGGGATGCAAACGAAAGAGAAGTTTTCAGAGAGGCCAATCCCAACTTCTTCATAAAGGATGAACGTAACTTTCACAAGTGGGATGATCATTGTGTTCGTCTTCTCAAGCATGAATTTATGCGTTTCAAGGTACTATTTTATTCTTTTTTTAAAAAAATTATATTATTTATTTTTCCAATAAAAACGACATAATTGTCCCATCAAAATTTTATTCAAATCCTGTATTTTTTTAAAAAAATTCAAATTCACATAATTTTAAATTAAAAAACTCAGATATTTTTTATTGCAATAAACTTTAACGTCCACATGATTTAATACTAAATTTAAATAATAAATAGTATATATGTTTTTAATTTTATTAAAACCTTTAGTTTATTTTTCACTAAAATATTTGGAATATAAAGTACTCCTTTTATTTAAATGATTGAAAATGTAAAGAAAAGTATGAATTAGAAATTAGGAACTGATTTGTATTAAAAAAAAAGAAAAAAAGAAATTAGTAACTGACGATAGCTGTGGGCTGGAAAATGCTGGGGAAGAATGCGGTGGTGCTACGCGCGATGCATCCGTGGGAAAGAGACGCGCGGCTAGCGAAGGAGGCGTTGAAGAAGGGCCCCCGGGCGTACGGAGTCCTGATTGAGATCGCATGCACCAGATCCTCTGATCAACTCTTGGGAGCCAGAAAGGCTTACCATGCCCTCTTTGAGCACTCCTTCGAGGAAGACATCGCTACTCACATCCACACCAAGGAACGCAAGGTCAGCCGCTAGATTCATTACAATTGGATGATGATTCATTTATATATGTATATTCTGTTGGCCATTTGCTTTCACTCGTAAGTCTGTATATAGAGCTGGTAACATAAATTAATGACTTCAGTTATATTTCATACAATTCTAAAAATAAAAATTAGATAATTAATTTGTATATTTATGATAAAATTAGGTAAGTCAATTATCTGTGATAAAGGTGTGTTGATTTTCTTTTTTTTGAATAATATTTATATCAAATTTCTTATATCTATTATATTAAGTTATTTACACAATTGATTATATGTATGGTTTTTAAAATATTAGTATTTTACAGCATTTAATTATAAACCCACATAAAAAAAAAACATATGGTCATATTTGATTGGAGAACATGACATAATTAATATAAGAAACTTAAACTAAGTATTTTTCTTTTTTAAAATACACTTGTAATCATGATCTCAATTGATATAAATCTCCTTTTAAAAATTGCAATTGATTGGAATATTTTAAGAAAAAAATATAAATATGAGAAGTTAATGTGGTACATTTAATATCAAAACGTATACCTTAATTATCTCCTGCATTCATGAATGAGAGAATATATGTTAGAGTAGATTTGTTCAGTGTTTTTGTATGAAATTTGAAATTTGAAATTTTTAATATTATATATATTATGTCATCTAAGCTCCCTTTCAAGTGGGAAGTTAGAGTTATGGGTTCAAATCTCACTTCAAATTTAGTTTGTTAGTACATGTCCTCCTCCTTTTTTTTCCCTTTCCAGAAGTTAGTACATGTGTGCCACAATAATTACTTTTTTTTTTTTTAAGTATACCTATTTTGCTAATAATCTTTTTTTTTTGTTCCTTTGAAAATAGCTGTTAGTAGCTCTAGCGAGTGCATATAGATATGAAGGCCCAAAGGTGAAAGATGAGACTGCCAAATCAGAGGCCCAAGTTCTTATAAACATCCTTAAGCATAATGGGCCAAACAAGCCCAATATTATTGAGGATGATGAAATCATAAGGATTCTAGCAACAAGAAGCAAACTTCATATTCAAGCCATCTACAAATATTATCATGAGATATCTGGCAATTACCTTGATGAGGTATATATATCTTGCTCTAACTAATTAAAATAAGTCCAGTGTTTTGTATGAAATTTGAATATTTTTTATATTATATATATATATATATAAATACTATGTCATATTTTTTTTAGTTTTAAATTCTTAATTCTGAGCCTTTCAAGATTTTCATTACTGATTAATGTATATTAATTTACCTCCCTGCTGCCATTGAAAAGGATCTTGAGGACTTAAGGTTGAAAGAGACTGTGCAATGCCTTTGTGCTCCTCATACCTACTTCTCTAAGGTAAGATAGAACTCACAAGTTGAAATTTGAATATATGACAAATGTGTTTTTTTCTTTTTTCTTTTTAAATAGATAAAATGTCAAGTATATTATTTAGACATCCCTTTTTGGTCTTAGACGCATGATTTAAATAACTAATTTACATTTACTAAGAAAATTTATTAAATTAGTTATTTGTAAAAACACATGTTGATTTTGTTAAAATACTTGTATTTTAGTTATTTATAAGGGATGCAAAAAATGATAAATGTGAGAAATAATGAAAGCTTGGAGCCATATATTTAGGGTCAAAACAAACTCTTCAACTAACTCTTACATTTAAAATCTAAGAAAGTAATTAAAAATTTAAGAAAGTTTTGTATTATTTACATAAAATTAATAACTGGTTTATATTTGCGCATAATCCAAAATTTGTGAAAACTATGTAATTGATCAACCTTTTTATATATATTATCACATGAATTTGTTAATTGCTTTTATAGAAAAAATTGTGATAATTTTATTGAGCTTTATATTTTTCCCCTCTCAGGTTTTGGATGCAGCACTGAGCAGTGAAGATAAGAATATAAAGAAGGCATTGACTCGTGTGATTGTTACTCGAGCAGACATGGATATACGTAATATCACTGAAGAGTACCAAAAATTGTATGGGGTTTCTTTATCCCAGAAAATTGCTGATGTGGCCAAGGGAAATTACAAAGATTTCTTGCTAGCTTTGATTTCTAGAGGAGAATAATTAGAATTATTATTTTCAAGAAAATAAGAAAAAAAAACCTTGGTCTTTGTTTGAAATATGAAACCATATGGTAGGGTTTGGTTTGTATACCATGGGCTGTTCTCTCTCCACAAATTTATATTTAGTTATGTTCTTTGTCATAAAAAGTGCTATGGGATTTGGTATCTCTATTTTTTGTTGTTATTTTTATTATTATTATACATAATCCCTAAACTTTAAATCATATACATATAATTTTCATAACATTTAAAACTATACGGTAAACCTCCTCATCAATTCTTGCATTTATGTAGATAATTCTTGTATGACTACTTTTATATATTATTTATATATTCTTTTTTGGGCCAAAATTATTTATTTATTCTCACACACTTTAAAGTTTAAAGAGATTATTTACATACTAATTAAAATATGAGGGGTTATATACACACATAAATATAGTTTAAGAATGTATAACTGTAAATGTGGACATATTATGTTTACTTTTTTCTTTTCTCAAATAACATTGACTAGCACAAAAAATACCATTTGAGACAAATGGCACTAAGGTTATGGGCATGAAAAAACACTTTAAAAAATTAAAAGATGATTAGAGGACAAAAATATACTTTTGCCTAAGTTAAATGATTCAATTAGTTGTGTTGACCTAAAAGCAATGTTTTAAAAGCCAAACCAAGTGTCCAATTAGAAAAGTCAGTAGTGCATAATTTCATGATACGGTTGAATTGATGACGTAATAATTAAATAAAACTTAATAAAAATAATTATATGCATATATAATGACATGTAAAAGAAATATATAAATATCCATAATATATAAGTCAAATTGTTAACATAACAATACCATAATATACGAAGTTTTTAATAAAATAACACCACAAGATTCAACCATTAAAAAAAAAAGTTCTCTCATCCAAATTGAGCCGTTAGCAAATTGGAAGGACAGTTCAACCATCTACCCCCACCCGACTCTCTAATCACTGCCTAAGAGGGCAAGGAGGAACTTCTTGTAGTCGCCAGAGTATTCTTTGGCGATAGCATGCTCAAGATGAACACTGTTCCTCTTGTAATAAAGCTCTTTGATGTCCTTTAGGTCTCTCTCAGTTCTTGTCACCACCACACGAGTTACTGCATCTTCATGATCACTTCCAATCCTTTTGATTCCATTCCTCAGAGCCTACATCATATATGATTCATGTTTTTAATTTTTCGCAGAAAATTCATTCTTAATGTAGTTTTATTCATCTGTTATGTTTTTATTTACTTTTCAAAATTATTTATTTGCTGACTTTGTTATATTTATTGGATTTTCTTACTTTTCAATCTCAAACCAATCACAAAGAAAAAAAAAGTGAGAAACATATCTGACCTTTTCATAGTACTTGTGAGGATCGTTGATGCAACGAATTGCTGTGTGCAATGCCTTACGGAAGTCATCTGATGCTTCATCCAACAGTTTCTACAGCGATATATATATATATATATATATATATAGAATGGAAACAATAAATAAATAAAAAAAATCACATATAAACACTCTAATATTAAAAATAAATAAGCAATTAATGAATTACATAAATTATTATAATTGGTTTTATTGTTTGGTCATTGATAATAGATAAGTTTTAACATCTAACTATGCATATTTCCCTTTGTAATTGTATCATTTGGAGAATAAACTACATGACTTGTAAATAATACTCCTTCAGGTCCTTATTATAATCATCTAATAACAGTTTTACATATATCGTCTAATAAAATCAATTATTTCTTATAAAACATCAAAATTATTCTCAATAAACATCATCAGTTAGAAGAGAGTTTAGTTAATTAGATTAAAAAAATTAATACTTTTAACAAAACATGTTATATTATAGAACATATAGAGATTGGTTGTGATAAGGATCGGAGGAAGTAGTATTTATGATACGCACCTTAGTGATGGAAGTGCCATGGAGGTCTCTGTAGCGATTAAAAGTGGCAACGAGTTGAGTTTTGCTTCTTGTGGTAAGGATCCTTATGGCTTCTTCATAGTTGGCTTTGTTGTTTTTGATGGCGTCATGAAGAATTTCAGCTTCACTTTGTGCCATTTTTGCATTTATCTCATCTCCTCCATACCTAAACGAACTCACCAACCCCACCAAGAGCTGCACCAAACACACTCACACTACTTATTTGGATTTTAATATTACTCATAAAGTTTCTTGTGCTGGTTTTTCATTTTTATATTAATTATGTTTTAGTAGTGTTATACTACAATTAAAAATGCTTTCTTATACAATTATATGGTATTTAGTGAAATTGGGTCAGACCAACGCATTTTAAGCTGATTTTGGGAGTAGCACTTGCAAAGTTAATTGCTAATCTCTTCTTTTTTTCCAATTCTATTTTTACTTTTTATTAAGAACAATTATTAACTCTTAATCAAGTAAAATAAAGTACATCTGATAGAGGCACATTAGGGAAGGTAGGAGGAATTAAAACATTATTTGCATTTCTTGGCATATGTGAGCAAACAATAAAAAGGGTAGGTAAAAGTAGGGGAGAATAATACTTGTCCTTTTCTCCTTTTCCTTTATATAAAAAATGGAAACTTAATGCTTGTCCGTGCATGCGAATGTTTGAAAAAACATATCCATCATTAATCCAATTAAAATAGTGGTCGAGGATCAGTAGTGTAACCATGGTTAAACCAAGATTAACCCAACTATAATTAAAATAATATATTATATTTAATATATGCAAAAATATTTATACATAATTTTTAAAAGAGTAATGTTTAAATTAAAAAAAAGACATCAATCCACAAGTAATAAATGAAACATTCCATAAATAGATCACATACAATTCAACAAAATAAAGTTAACACAGCACAAATATGCGGAACTAATTTTTTTTTTTTTAATTCAAAATAACGTCTTCTTAGACTCGGCAATGAGATAAAAGAAGGAAAAATTATAAGGAGGTTCTAAGAAAATAAAATAATTACTAGTAAGTCTCAATGACAAACAAGCAGTTGTCATTTACTACTATAAAACTTGTCATTACAGGTTGTTTTGTTGTCATTGGAGCTTTTAATCGATATATTCCTTACTCAAGAGTTCATTGCAATTCTCCCATAAAAAAAAAAAAAAGAGTATAAAATCCAATCAGCTTGACCTGCTCAGAACTTTTGATCAAATAATTAGTCGGAGAACTAGTTCACTAGTATGAAAAGCCGCTAACCCAGGTCAGTTTTCAATACCACCCCTAGTCATTTCTATAAGAGCTAACTAGGGGGTTAGATTTGGTCCTAAATATAAGACCTCAATTTACTTTAGTTTTCATATTTTCTCAAAACATCGCTATTTATTGTAAGGGGTTCCTACTAATGAATAATTCTAATAATCCAATGCATATAATTAAAGAGGATAATTTAAAAAGACCAACAGACATATTTGTAACAAATGACCAACTTATTTAATTTTTTAATATCTAAAAAATAGTTATCGATCTCTTGTATTAACTACCGTGGGTAATAGCATGATACGTACGGTATGATATTCTCCTGATCATAGAATTAATTATAATCTTTAATGTCATTTCGAGAGATTAATTTTTACTGTTGTAAAAAAGTAATGGCTTAGTATGGTGAGATCATGATGATTAATAATCAATGTTCAAAAAGCTGTAAGAAGAAATATGCTTGCCTGCCGGAGATGGCCGTGGGTATAAGCAGCAACGTCTTCCTCCAAGGAAGCCTTGTAGCGACTGTGATAGGCTCTCCTCACCACCAACAGTTCTTCAGGCGAATGGACAGAAGCGATTTCCACAATCACATTGTAATCCACATTCTTATGTTTCTTCAACGCCACGTTGCACAGAACTGCTTCTCTATCTGCTGGTTCCAATATCCACCGATACACAGCTTTCTGATCATTCCATTCCAACCAAATCGATCAAATCAACAAGTGTTTGTTGATTTGCATATCTCAGAGGAAATTATGAAAACTTAAAAAATCCAAACAAGCCGAATAGAGAGAAGACCTCGAAGTGGCCTGAGAGCTCCGATTCGAGGCGTTTGAGGAGATCTTCTTGGTAAAGTTGCTGATATGCTTCTCTGATTTGTTGTCTCTGATAAGCATTTCTGTGAGCCAATATTGCTATAATCCCCTTCTCATTAGTCCCTCATCCTACACCATTTAAATATATGACAAAAGCTCAAGGGTGTTGAAAAAACTGATGAACAGGTTATTAAACATTCAAGGAACGATTAAAATAATATATAACTTTAATTAAAATGTGCAAAAAATGATTATATATATGTAACTCTGAAAAAAGGTAAGATTTAAATTGGAAGGAGCCATTCAATGTGACAAGTTGCCGTTTTTTTTTTAAACTCAAAACAACATCATTTTAGACTGGTCAAGAGGAGGGAAAAAAAAAAATCATAAAATCCGATTCAGTTTATCTCTCCAAAACTCTTGGCTGATTTATTCACATATAAATTACGCATAATTCAACAAAATAGAGTTATCAAAATACAAACTTAACGAACAATTGTAAGAGGGGAAAAGCATAAAATATAGCCCAATTAATCTGTCCAAAACTCTTGATTGGACCAACTAGAAAACTGATTTACCAGTCACTAGTTTAACTGGTTGATTCAAGTTGGGTTTTAATATGAAAAATACATATGATTTATATATCAATAGTATGTGGGTGGATTGTAAAAAGTTGGGAAAGCTATATACCCCCTATTTAGGATCAAATCTGGATCGTTATATTAATACACGGTGATGGATGATAGCTACAAGGGGGGAAAAACATATACATATCCCTACATGAACCATGAAGGATATGACATGTTTGATGGATCATGAACATTAAACTTTGAAGAAGAAGGAGATTCAGAAACAAAAGACAAATAAAATTGATGTTGAAGGAGTGATTTTGGTACCTTTGACAGCTTTTCGAAGAGCTTCAGCATCTTCTTGGGGAGAATGGTCGGTAGGGGCAATAAGAGTAGCCATGGTTTTCAGTGCTATGCTCCTAATACAACTGCCTTTAATTTGATGACTACAATGTGCTTTAAAGGCCTTCTATATATAATAAAAAAGGGGTAGGTCTGGGTGAATAAAATAAGGTAACAAATTTTAATATTAGAATTCG